ACACCATGAATTTGCCAAATACAAAAGAGAACTTAATACACCAGAAATTGAAATCATGGAAAATGAGCTAGCCACCAACTATGCCCGAAGAGAAAAAGTTAAGACCAAACAAAAAGCATAGAAAAACTAAAGAGTAAATGGGAAGAAAAACCTCTACATGGACAATACCCGAAACAAGTTAATGACAAAGATGTGGATCAAGCACAAACAAACCGATGGTTAAGAACAGCTGGCCTAAAGTCTGAAACTGAAGGGTTTATTATTGCTGCTCAAGACCAGTGCATTAAGGCCAACTATCATCGGAATGAGATTCTGAAAGATGGTACTTGCCCAATGTGCAGGATATGCAACAACCAACAAGAAACAATAGATCATATAGTCTCTAGCTGTCCAATACTGGCCAAAAAAGAATACATTCAACAGCACAACAAAGCAGCAGCATAGCTCCATTGAGCAAACTGAACGCATTGCAACATCAAAGTTAAGGACAAATACTATGAGCATGAGCCATCAACTGTAATAGACAATGATGAAGCTACTACAATCTGGGACATGCCAATTCAAACTGATTGAGAAACCAAGGCCAACAGACCCGACATTGTAGTGAAGGACAAGGAGGAGAGAAGTTGTCTGCTCATCGACATGTCTGTCCCCACTGAAAGAAACACCTCCCTGAAGACCACAGAAAAACTCTCCAAATACAAAGATCTGGAGATAGAAATTGAAAGAATTTGGGGGATGAAGACCACAACTCCACAATTCCAGTAGTAATAGGTGCCCTTGGTCTGGTCAAGAAAGGAATGGAAAAGTACACCAACAAACGAACAGCTACCACTATGAGCACGGCACAGGAAAATCTAACACGCAGCAGTCCTACAACATCTTTTCCTCTTTCTTCCCAGGTAAATGGCACATCTCTCTTCTCGATTACTCCTCTCATAGAGAGCGAGGTATCAGAAATCCTGACCTGTAGCCTTCCCACTACATGCCCACTGGACCCAATTCCTACCAATCTCTTCTAAGCCTCTCCTACTGTGGTGCCGGCAATCACGCACATGATAAATACTTCTTCTGGCTACGGGAACCTTCCCGACCACTTTCAAAAGGACTCAGGTTACTACCCTGCTCAAAAAGCCCTCGCTCGACCCTACTCAAGCTGAGGACTACGAGCCAGTGTCAGTTCAACCATTTTTATCCAAAACTATCAAACGGACAGTCTTCAAAGAGGCCTCAGAATTCCTTACACAGAATAACCTTCTAGATCCATATCAGTCTGGTTTTAAGAGTGGCCACTCTACAGAAGCCCTAAGGTCAGCTAAAGCTGCAGCCAGTCCTCGGTTTTTATCCTGCTTGAGCCATCAGCTGCCTTTGACACAGTCAATCACAGGATCATGCTATCTGCACTCTCAGCAATGGGAATCTCTGGCAAAGCACTCCTGTGGTTCAAATCCTACCTCTCTGATAACGGGGATCCCGGACTGTCTCTCAGACATATCTGCATCTATGAAGGCTTGCCACCTCTTAAATCTCTCTAAGACTGAACTTGGTCATTGCAGCCAAGCAATCTATCCACCAATACATCAAATTACAGATGGGGTCTTAAACCATCACTCCAACCAGGGTGGTGAGAAACTGGGTGTCACGATGGACAACCAGCTGTCCTTTTCAGACCATGTTGCTGCTGTCCCTCGGTTTTCTTTGTACCTCACTCAGTATGCCACCCAGCTTCTGGTACAGGTCATGGTTATCTCTCGCCTTGACTATTGCAATGCCCTCTTAGTAGGTCTTCCAGCTTGTGCGGTGTAACCTCTACAAATGGTTCAGAACACAGCAGTGTGTCTGCATTTCTCAGTGACCCATGGCCTCACGAATCAAATTCAAGTCACTAATGCTGCATACAGAGTGACTACTGGATCAACACCATCTACCTAAACTCCACAATACAAGTTTACGTTCCTTCTGGGCCACTGTGCTCTTCTAACAAATGCCGTCTTTCTGACTCTGCCATCCCTACACAGAAAGCTATCGCAGTCCCTGTTCTCATCTGTGACACCACAATGGTGGAACGCGCTACCACATGCCGTCAGAGCAGGGGCGTCCCTGTCTAACTTCAAGAAGGTCCTGAAAACTCTTCTGAGTACACTTCCTCTGATAACACCTCTAACGTGCACATACTGTCTTATTCTTTCTGCTTACAAATCTCTTGTCTTGATTAAACTATTTTGTTATATATTACTTTTTCCCTAGGTATTTCACCCCATCGATTTCATAAGTGTTATTAGCTCTTACTGGAATTAGTTGCTGCTCTTACTAGCATCTATTGTCACTTGTAGAGCTCTTACTGTATTGATGCTTTATTGATGTTAGCATTCCTTGTTCCTTAAAAGTAAGCATTGGATAAAAGCCAAATAAGGAAATGTAAATGTTCTCACTATAAAATGCCTTCGAAACCATTCCGAAAAAAATTACTGTGATAATTACATGAAACCACTTCTACAACTTCAGAAATCTTTGGAAAATGACAAATATTTTAAACTCCTAAGCATAGTGGTGTGTCCAGTATTTCCTGTATGTCTGATCATATAAGACAAAACCTACTCAGGTAATAATAACTGCATAATTGATAACTGAATTTGTGCTATATGCGGTGATCAAAACGGAACCATAACCTTTGCTTGTTGCATCCATCACCATCAAGACACTGTTTAACAATTGTAAATTATTATTAATATCTATTATTATAAATAAATAGAATAACATGTTCATTAACACAACCAACTGAAAAACCTACATTTTATCTGAAGAACTGAACTGCTGATTGACACTGATTTATAATGTTAATCACATCTGGACTTACAGAGCCTTCCTGCAGTTCCTCACGACTGGAATCAGTCTCCGTCGTCCCTCCTCTGATGTGTTGTACTTCCTCAGCTCCAACTCATGCAGAACCTCCTGTGATATCTGCAGCATGTAGGCCAGAGCTGAGCAGTGGATCACAGAGAGTTCCTTCTCTGATCTGTTCTCTGACTTCAGGAACTCTTGGATGTCCTGATGTACTGAGTGGTCGTTCATCTCCATCAGACAGTGGAAGATGTTGATGCTTCTGTCAGGAGAGATCTTATTACTTTTTGTCTCCTTCAGGTTGTTGATGGTTTTCTGGATGATTTCTGGACGTGTCTTTGTCCGACCCAGCAGGCCTCCTAAGAGTCTCTGGTTGGACTCCAGAGAGAGGCCATGAAGGAAGCGAACAAACAGGTCCAGGTGGCCATTTTTACTGTCAAGGGATTTCTCCATGGCTCTCCTCAGGAAGACATCCAGAGATGGGTTGATTCTAAAAATCTTGCAAATCTTCTCACCTAAAGACTCTGAGTTTGAGTCTCTTTGTTTCCAGTGTTTTCCCAGGAAGTCCTCCAGTACCTCTGTGTTGCTGCTGGTGTAACAGTGTAACATGTAGACTGCAGCCAGAAACTCCTGAACGCTCAGATGAACAAAGCAGTAGACTGTTTTCTGGAAGATCACACTCTCTCTTTTGAAGATCTCTGTACAAACTCCTGAGTACACCGAGGCCTCTGTGACATCAAGACCACACTGCTCCAGGTCTTCTTGGTAGAACATGATGTTTCCTTTCTCCAGCTGTTCAAACGCCAGCCTCCCCAGCTTCAGAAGAACCTCCCTGTCAGCCTCCGTCAGCTCCTGTGGACTCGTCTCATGTCCCTCATCGTACTTCTGCTTCTTCCTCTTTATCTGAACCAGCAGGAAGTGTGAGTACAGGTCAGTCAGGGTCTTGGGCAGCTCTCCTCTCTGCTCTGTAGTCAACATGTGCTCCAGAACTGTAGCAGTGATCCAGCAGAAGACTGGGATTAGACACATGATGTGGAGGCTCCTGGAGGTCTTGATGTGTGAGATGATTCTGCTGGACAGCTCTTCATCACTGACTCTCCTCCTGAAGTACTCCTCCTTCTGGGCGTCAGTGAAGCCTCGTACTTCCGTTACCCTGCCGACACACGAAGGAGGGATCCGATTGGCCGCCGCAGGTCGGGAAGTTATCCAGACGAGAGCCGAGGGAAGCAGATTCCCCTCGATGAGGTTTGTCAGCAGCAGGTTGACTGATGACTTCTGTGTGACATCAGACACAACCTCACTGTTGTGGAAATCCAATGAAAGTCTGCTTTCATCCAGGCCGTCAAAGATGAACAACAGTTTCCAGACGGCGAGCTTCTCTGCTGGGACCTTCTGTAATGTTGGATGGAAAACATGGAGCAGCGTGAGGAGACTGTGCCGCTCATCTTTGATCAAGTTCAGCTCCCTGAACGAGAGCAGAACCAGCAGACCGACATCTTGGTTTTCCGAGCCCTCTGCCCAGTCCAGAGTGAACTTCTGCACCGAGAAGGTTTTTCCAACGCCAGCGACGCCGTTGGTCAGAACCACTCTGATGGCTCTCTGTTGGCCAGGTAAGGCTTTAAAGATGTCCTGGCACCTGATTGGAGTGTCATGGAGGGTCTTCTTCTTGGAAGCTGTCTCAAGCTGCCTCACCTCATGCTGGGTATTAACCTCTTCACTCTGTCCCTCTGTGATGTAGAGCTCAGTGTAGATCCTGTTGAGGAGGGTTCCACTTCCTGTTTCATCACTTCCTTCAGTCACACGTTCACATCTCCTCCTCAGACTGATCTTATGTTCATCTAAAACCTCCTGCAGACCACCTCTCACTAAAGAAGAGAAACAATGTGAGATAAAACAAAGAATATGTGCTGATTATTTTCATTACTAATATAAAAACCATCAATATCAGAATATCTGAAGAAGCAGACAGATGTCCAGTCTTACTTTGTACAGAGCTGCTCTGACTGGCTGTCTGCAGTCCAGCTCTGGTTCTGGATCTGTCTCCACACTGGGGACAGGAGGAGTGTCCTGATGAAGCAGATGGTCCCAGTATGAGGTGATGCACCGTCTGCAGAACCAGTGTCCACAGCTGGTAGAGACTGGATCCTTCAGGACGTCCTGACACGAAGCACAGCAGGACGGCTGCTCCTCCACAGGAACAGGACTCCTCTTCCTCTCTCTGTGAAGACATTTCTTTAGAACTAAAATGATTTGTTGCTTGTTGTTGAAAAATCTCCAGATGTGTCCGACACTGTGTAGAAGCTCAGATGGTCACAGAGTAAAAGTGTCGTTACTTTTCTGTTTGAATTCAGCTTTCAGTCAGTAATGAAGATGATTGTTCCTTTATTTCAGCTCTCCTGCTTCAGAAACACTAATTAACTGCTTTTCCTGTCTGACTGTCTGATTAAACATTTAGTGATCTGCCTGCAGTTTGTTATTAACACAAACTCAACACTTCCTGCAGCTCCTTCACAGTAAAAGCCTCCATTAAAGAGAGCTGATTATGTCCTTCACTGTTTTACAGTCACTCTGGGCAGCTTAGCTTGAGTTAGTTAGCTTTGAACTGAGCTTAGAAGTGGTCTAAACACACAGCATGTAACAGCGGTGTCACAGGTTCAAGTCCACACGGAGCCTTGTTTGGATGTCGTTCTGTTTCCTGTCACTCTCTACTGTCAACTATCACATGAAAACTATTCAAATATTGTAAAAAGAGAAGTGGTCCAATTTTCTGCCCTTTTTCCATCCACTGCTAACTTTTCCATCAGTGCTGCCCGTGGATGTTTGTTCTTCACCATTAGGAACAATATATGGTGGAGAGAATCTGAGCTCAAAGCTCCACTTACTAATGATTCAAAGCAAAGTGTTCATCAAGGTGAGCAAAGCTGAACTACAAATGCTTTTTCACCACATGTTGCACAATTATGATCTGAAGTGATTCAAGATGCATCTGGTGGATCAGAACAGCTGATCTGAGGAAGAGCCAAACAGCTCAGTGTTTAGAGGACAAATAGGAGAAAATGAAGGACACATTTGAAGCAGATTCTTTCAGATTCTGAATCCTTCTAAATCTTTACAGTGACGTCAACGTGAGGGCAAAAATATATGAAGATGTTCTTGAAGTGTAAATTCTGAAATGGAGGTTCTCAGGTGTTTTGCTCCAGAAATCAAATCAGATCCATCTTAGTTTGAAACAGTATCTGCACTAATAGTTCTGCATCAGGAATATAAATCTGTTAGCAGAACATTTTGTCTTCATCCTCAATGCATCATCTTCCATCAGGTCAGTTTACAGTAAAAACAGTCTCTTACTTTGTGTCTGAGGGTCCAGGTTCAGGACTGAAGTCTGGAGGAGGAGTTCTGGACCGGTGACTCTTTATAGACAGTAGACAGCTGGATCCTGAGGACTCTGCTCCGTCCTCCTCGTCCTGCACATAAACACTCATCTTCTGGAATTCAGTCAGTCTGAGAGGTAAGAGAGGCTGTAAGCTAAAAGCAAAAGAAGCACACGCAGCTGTTGAGTTCCTCTAAGGTTTCTTTCCTCTCCAGTCCACAGGGAGAAAACTGCCTCAGAGACTTTGACAGTAACATAATAAAATGTTGGATTAACACTCACCCTGCCTCAGCCTTCAGTTCTCCTCCTTCTGCTCTGGGACTCTAAATGGAGTCTGAACTGACTGAACTCAGCCCTGTTCTCTTGAGTCTGGGTCACATGGTCAGTGCTGCTCCTCCCCACTCCATATCCAGGAAACAAGGCGAGTGTGTGTGTGTGTGTGTGTGTGTGTGTGTGTGTGTGTTAAAATAATGTCTCTGTTGGCTTGAACAGGTTGAATTAAATGAGTTTTGGTCAGGATGTTGGAACTTAAATGAAGTTTAAATGATTTAAACAATCAGTTTTGTTTAAGTTACTACTAAAGCTTTAATGCAATTGTGTCCTGTCCCCCTGACTCTTCTTTCTTTACACAAACACTTTCACTGTCTCGTCACTTTTTCTATAACAGTCTGCAGCTCGGACTGGACAGTGATAAGTATCTGATTTTCTGAAAAGTATATACCTGGCCATCTTTGAAGAACCCAGAAAGTCCTTCAGCAACACTTCCTGCTGTATTTCCAGAGTGCACAAAGACTTCTCTGAGCATCTGGGTGAAAAGGGTCAACACTCAATGACGGCATAAAACAGAGCAGTCTATAAAAGGGGTTTCACAAATATTGTGAATCACCACGCCCACGAGAGATCCTTGAGCATACAGTCATAACAAATAACAGGCTGCCGGGTCCAGTGGTATGCTCACACCTGCCACAATCACAAACTAAGCTGCTTCCTTTCACTAATCACAAAAAGGGAAGTCCTCTTTGGAAACACGCTGAATCGGTTTCCTGATGTACAGTACAGAAGGACTGAAGTGATTCAAAGCACTTGGGAGGCCCACCTCCTACTTTGATAACCTATGTTCTACACTGTATGTACATCTTATGATATGTGTGTAGTGCATTAAAATATATAATAATATACCCATTTGTATACATCAACCGTGTCCATGAAATGCCTGTTGGCCAAGCAAATCTTGACACACCTCTCTAAGACAGAGAATGATGCTGAACCCACTGAAGGTCTCACTTCCCTTCATGTGGTGAAGGATAACCAAAAACAAGTTGACACACAATGCAAATGAGGCTCATGCTTCTGTGCACCAAACAGGATTCAGCCATATTTGAATCAGCATTTACTTCCTACTTGTCTGTTTTGTCTGTTTTTCAGCTGCACTGAGGCAAATTCCTAACAACTGTGTTGACATCAGGGCTGTCACGATATCAGACTTATCACCACACGATTATCAAGAGCAAACAAATTAACCATAACAATCTTATCTAGCGGACCTGAATCCCTGTCTCTCTCTTTCACTTCTTTGCCGCTGCCTAAATAAGTAGGAGACAGAAAACACTGTCAAGTCATAACTTAGCTTTAATAACTCACAGTAAAATATTGAACTGAATATCAAACTATCTCCAATAGTGTACTGGGTTCCTCCTCTAGATGTGGTCAGGAGGGGGACCTGATGACAGGCGGGTTCCAACTAAGTACTAACTACTGCTAAGCCCTCTTACTCATGCAATTTGAAGCGTGCAAAAGAGCATCTATGGGGCCAAAACGGCAGCTTAAGTATAGGCAGCACAGGCAGGGTGCAGCCTCCTGGGATTGGTTTGCCCAGGTGTGTATTTAAGCAGACCAAGATCAGTCACCCTGTAATTGGCTGGTTTTCCAAAACATACACCATACAAAACATACAACATACACCACCTCCGCATGCACCCCTGATATACTTTAAACTTCAACGGTACATTAAACAAAACATTGCCATCCAGTGGTTATATGGATAAGTGCTGCAGAGATAAACGAATGATCCACTCAAGCATCATACTTGTTATGAGCAAAATGTCTCTCATGTGCAAGAGATCAAACTTAAATCAGTTAAAGGTAAAACACTTTGCAGAGCTTTCTCTTGTTGTTAGATTATGATAAAGCCACATTCTTTAACAGCAAAGCAGGACTAATCACATGTAAGTAAATGAACTAAATTAATCCAGCAATACACACTTGTTGTTATTAAAAACTTTACCTTCAGTACATTCTACAACCATCATATTCACTACTTTCCATACATTTGACCATTATAATACATTTTCAAGCAAAAGCATCGTAATAAATTCATGTCAAAATGAGGAAGTGCTGCTGCGTTTATGGCAGGCCACCTGCACACTTGCGGTTACTCGAATGAGTTTACAATTTTAATTGCACTTTCACTTCTCATTTTCTCTGAACTGCTCAACTCTTTACAATCCATGTACAGTGTGATCTTGTTTTTCTGTTTGACGCTGCTCTTCACCTTTAAGTTCAGTTTCAGTTCCTTATTTTGCAACCAGTTCAACTCTTGACACACATTTTGTTAGGAATTATCAGACTTTCATGTTTGCCACACTGAATGAATTTCTTTTTCCTTAATGTCTTTTGTACATATAAACATTATGGTATATTTGTGGTGCTGTATTGGCATGAATGTTTCAGTCAAACCATGTTGCCAAAGTTTACATTTAAACATGACTCCAATCGAGACAATTACATTTAACCATTATAAATGAAAAAAACAAACAATAAAACAAATACAGATAGAACATAAACTACAAGTAAAAGTGAACCACATGTAACCTGCCTTGCAGCGAACGTTAAGTGCAACAGTTGGCTGAGTCACTTGTGGTCCCTCACACATACGTATTTTGCTTTGAGTGATCATTTGGTTCACTCTGATGGTGTTTGTAAAGCAGTGTTGGCTTGAGAAAGGTGTGTGTGACATGTTGCAGGATCTGTTAGAACTAGCTGGCATAAGGGACTATTTTCTGGGTTCAGCTTTTGAGTTTAAGAGCCTTGAATTGGAGGGAGTCTTGGGGACATGATCCGAGGTGCATCAGAAAGTTTAGTGCTCTTTTTGGGGGATCTATCAGTCGAAACTGCCCTAATTCTGCCCTACACGCATGTGTAGGAGACTTTCTTTGAATGTGTAGGATGTTTCTGCAGAATTCTGCATGTAGGGTCTGCAATGCAATGCTTCTCCCATAAACTTCACTTCCATAGCGCGCAGTCAGCTTAATATGTCATATTTTACACCAGATTTTATTTGGGATACTTATATTATAGAAAGAGTTTCTGTTTAATTGCATTGAGAGCTGTAGAAGCTTTTCTTTTAGTGCATTCACTGCCATAAAGAGGTTCCCATATGTTGTGATTTGAAGGCCCAGCTAGGTGTATTTCATCGTGTGATTTAGGGTAATATTACCTAGAGTGAAATGATGTCTTTTGAGGCATTGTTGTTTTTTTTAAAACATCCTGGCGCTGTCGATTGGTCCAGTTGCAATGCTAATTGGTTTAAGTAGATGTTACAGCCTTGGCAAACGCCTCTCCTCTGGGTAAAGAAATCAGTGTGTTTGTCACCATTTTTTAATGCTGTACATGGATTTGATTGTGTGGCATACCTTTCCTCCGACACCATTTTGGAGGATTCTATAATCCAGTCCATCGTGCCAAATTGAATCAAATGCCTTTTTAAAGTCCACAAAACAGAAACATTTCTTCCAAATTTTTTGTTTGATGTGATGAATGTGGTCAGTAGTGCGATGCTTTGGAAGGAAGCTGATTTGTTTTTTACTCAAGATACTGTGTTCATTTAGGAAGTGTTGTGAATTATTTTGGAGCATTATAGCCTAAATTGTTATCATTAATTACTAGAGCAATGGTGTTCTACATTGTCATCATTTAAAGTGTTATTTTATAGTGTAAAGTTAGGATCACAGTGTTAAAACTCTACAGCTCTGAGTGTATGTGCTCCTTTCTGTATCTAACTGCCCAGGCACATGTGTGTGTGTGAGCAAGTTCGTGTGCTTTGGGAGAAAAGGGAGGGAGCACAGTGAGATATCATCAAAAATACCTGCAAAGTAAAATATAGAAGCAGATTTTGTGCAAATTGTATAACAAAACATACATCAATATAGTCCATCACAGTAAGAATGTCCTGTTTCTAGCACAGAGCACAAAACAACACCAGTTTATTCCATAAAAGTCAGGTTATGGAAGAAATAGCATGATCAAGCAGAGTTCATGCAGAGGACACAGAGAGGAGGAGCAGGCAGTCAGGGACTTTCCTAGACCCAGTAGGAAAGAGAGCCAAGAGATGATGTAAAGCCAAGAAACAGAGCTATAAAAGGAGGTCCAAAAGGAGGTGAAAGTCAGTCGTTACATGGTTTTCATGTGGACTCGGGTCTCTGTTCTGGTAACAGGATGGGACTCTATTTTACACCGATCTCTGACTCACTCCGGTGGAACTTTTGTATTCTAATTGGTGTCTGTTTTTGTTGATAATAAAAATGTTCAAGCTTTCTTATCTGGCCCAAGTCTTGAATTTTTACACGTCTGTAGTTGTTGGGGTCAGATTTATCTCTCTGTCATTGATGGGAGATAATACCTGGACTCCAAGTGTCAAAAGCCAAACCGGCAAGAAAACCACCTTCGTCCTGCATTCCCAGGATTCCGATTGGCCTCAGTCTCGGAGGCTGCCGTGTTCACTCACTGGGAGCTGTAATCGGTCTACATGACGTGGTAGGGCAGTAACCACATTCAACTACTGGCTACACGCCAATCAGTATCTGCAACAGATCTCTCCCTAGCTTTGTGTTTTTTACAGGAAACAGACGTAAATAGCAAATAGCACTCTGTTTTCTATTTCATAGAAACTTTCTTCTTAAAGTAATCCCTGTGAGTAATCCCCATTTTTACAAAATGTACCTGTAATCTAATTACGTCTTTATTTACGGAATACAGTTACTGTATTTTTCATTCCTGATTACGTAACGCCGTTACATGTAATCCGTTACAACCCAGCCCTGGTGTTTGGACAGAATGCAAAGCGAATTTCACAGACTGCACAATTGCATACAAACTCAATGCAACTGACACGAAGATGTGTCTATGAGTTGAAAGGTGATTGTTGTCATTGTGGTCTTGAGGCTTTTACATTTATGAGAACTTATGAATATAATTTTAGCATTAAACTAAAAAAGCTTCTGTTTCATTTGACGTCTCATTTAAACAGCATCTGTCTGTTGTAGGTCATGCATTTTGCAGACACAACCTCTTAATGGGAATATTTTCCTGCTCAACTGTCACGATCCTGTTCTGAGTTTGTCTGTGTTATTTTGGCAGTGTCTTCTCTGTGTTCTGTATTTTGATTCTTTTTTCCTTTGTTTCTGGGTTTTGGTTGTTAGTTCTCAGTCAGTTTTGTATCTATTATTAGTCTTTGTTTTGGTTTTCAGTCCTGTCTGTTGTTATGTGGTAGTCTATCTCTATTATTAGTTTGTAGTCAACTCAGGGCCGCAATGTGCTTGTTGTGGGTTGTTGGATGTATTTTACAAGAAAGACGCAAAGAGAGAATGCACAGTAATTGTGTATGTTGCTGTGTGTCGCCTGTAGAAGTAAAGTTAGCTGCTGCCTAACACTATGCTGACCTCACAGGCGTTGCGAGGTCTGGTATTTATTGTGTAATTTGAACTAGGATTATTACAGTAGCTTCATAAAAAAAATGTAGTGTGCCTTAAAATAAATATAACAACATTGGAAAAACAGGCTGATACTGATCCTTATTCCTCCGACTTATAGCCTATACTCAGTTTGGATTTTCTGTTGGATCGCTTTATTTGCTTGGACTATCATTATTTTGGATTATGGTCTCAGCCACTCTACAGTAAGTGTGCTCGCCTTTTGTTCATTTAATAAATCACTGAACTGAACCAGTCAGCCTTTGTGTCCTGCATTTGTGTCCACCAGCCTGCTCATCCACGCACTCACACCACAAATTGTGACATCGATATCCATCCATTGCCGTCCTAGTTTAGCTCTATCACATCTGAAGCCTTTTGAATAACTTGTTAAAAACACAGGCTTTAACAGCAAAAGTTCTTCATTTTCCTTCTTCTCATTCTACTGGTTCATCATCACAGTTCTTGTTTTTACTTCATCTTAACTTCAGCACTCTGGAAAGGCACGGATCCACCTGACAGAGAGCAGCGATCAGGACTGAACTGGCTTCAGTTCCCTTTCTTCGCACCGTGTCGATCACATCTCGTGCTTTTTCTGCTTTAACTTTTGTTCTGACTGACTGCATTTCATCATCATTTATAACATGAAGTTCAAGGAGTTTATCTAAAAGTTGGTTCAGAACAGGTTCCGACACTCTGTTCACAAACTGTGTCCGAACTAAGAGCAGTCTGTCCTCTGCTGGGACGTCCTCCTCTGCTGGGACGCTGTCTTCTACTGGGATGTTCTCCTCTGCTGGGATGTTCCTCTGTAGACTTTCCCTTCTTGGACCTGGAAGATAACCAGGGAAATTTAAGTTTCAAAGAAATCAAAGGTCATATTTTTGTCTTCTAAAGATACATATCTGCTCTGTAAATAACTTGGCCTGTGTTCAACTGTTGTAAAGGTAAATTAAAAGATTCATTTTGTGTTATAAGTTGCAAAGAGTTCCAAGTAATAGTTGAAGTAGGCCTTCACCGTCTTCATGCATTCATGTGAAGTCAGAATAATCATTAAAGTGTGTTCCCAGCTGAATTACACAAATTTAACAGAAACTTGGCGGATGGAAGAAAATGTTTATTTACAAAAACAAGTCAGGTAAAGCAATATTTTAGTGGTTTAAGGGTATGTAGCCTACTGGTGCAATAACAAATCTGGGACAAACTCATGAGCTTGAAACTGTTTCAGCATACTTCGACAGCAACATCACAATCATAACAACAGAGAGTTACATTGTTGTATAAATTCTGGATGACCGCCGGACGCCGTGCTTTAGCATTACAGAATCTTCTCGCCCAGATTCCAAGTGACGGACAACTCTGGCGCTCATCCAGAATTCATACAACCACAGTTACATTTGTAACTCTGGTTCTTTTTCTTCCTGCTTGCCAGATGGTGGTGCTTTAGCAGTGGAAGACTGACTGCAGCCACATTTACACTGTAATAGCGAGCAAAGGTACATGAAGATGTACAGATGTCATGCAGAGAGACCCCCAGCCGCCCAGGAAGTGGACACACTCCAAGTAGAGTGACACTTTACCTTACTATGTGGAGGCAGGCCTTGTGACTCGTTTTGCTGATGTGACAGCAGTGTTGTCTTAGCAGACAACCACCTCAACTCTCTCTGTCCCAGTGCTTCAAATAGGGCCAGACCTAAGGACCTCAAGACTACCTTGAAGTCCCATGATGGCACTACAGTGACTCCACTGTGTGGTTGTCCACGCTAACGTGCCCCACTGAAATGGCAGCTGCGTACACTTTCAATGTCGATGCACATCTGCTGCCATCCAACGACTGCAGGAAACACAGAATGCGGGTTACTATGCAATCCTCTGCTACCTTTTCCCTGCACCACTGGGGAAAAAATATTCTAGCGATTAGCATAGAGTGGAGGGAGCACTTTAACTTAACAGAGTGTGGATCATTGACTGGTCAAAAGATACCAGAAGTGGGTCCTGGCTTCCAATGGCCAGACGCACAGCTGAGGTCGGACCAGATTTGGATGCCATATGCGTCCCCCCAGCTGAAATAGAAGGTCTGGTCTCCTTGGGAGGTGCCATGGCTCCCCACTGAGCAGCCTCAGAAGCACTGGAAACCATGGCCTCCCTGGCCAGTTGGGGGCTGCCGTTTGTGGCCCCCATGTTATACTGTCTAGATTCACACGAATGAGTGGAATTGGAGAAAAGGCATCCAGAATGCACGCTGGCCACGCATGAGCAAAGGTGTCCTGCCCTAAAGGACAGTCCTCGTCATTAGTAGATTACCAGAGGGGAGAACATTTTAACATTTCTGAGGCAAAGACATCCATTTCTGCTTTGTCATATTAGTTCCAAATCATTCCCACTACCTCTGGGTGGAGTCACCAGTCTCCCTGTGGTGGCCCCTGGCAGGACAGCACATCTGCCGTGCTGTTCTGTGCACCTGGGAGATGTATGGCCCTGAGGTTCAGAAAGTGGGAAAACACCCATTTCAGTAGCTGTCTATGGACAAAAATCAGGCCACCTGTGTTGCCATCCATAATATTCAGAATGGCAGCACCCTCAGTTCCAGGATTGGGTGGAACCCACCATCCTTCTTTGGAAGGACAAATACACTGAGCCATGTATGCCCTTCTACAGGCTGGATGGCATCTTTCTCTAGAAGGGCTGCCAGTTCCTGGCTGAGGGCCAGGGATTTTGCAGGATCTTTTACCACAGACCTTCTGAACCAGCAGAAAAGTGGTGGCCAGTGTCGGGATTGTAGTGTATCCCTTGGACAGTGTGGACACCAACCCAAGTTGTCTGGCTCACCTAGTAACCTTCATCCAGTAGCTGAGGTGCTGCAGAGAGAAGCGTCCAGAGATCATCAGTCAGTCTCTTCTTTTTCACTCTCCTTACCAAAGCAGCTCCTAACTGTTGCACCGTCTAATTTGATCCTCTCTCTGGAGATTTCTTCTTTTTAAAGTTTCCTCCTTCGCCTAAGTTGCATGTATTTTAACATTTGTGAAAGTAAGCCTAGGTTATTTTGTTGAGCATCTTTATATTTCAGTTAATGTCGCTTTTATAATACCTTTTAAAAGTAGCATTGATCGGCTAACGAGACTTTCAAAACTTATGAAAACAATAATAGCAGAGCTTCTATCTGATTCCAGCTACCGGCCTATGGATCATGGATTCCCTGGAAAAGGGGGTGGTGCCTCTTTGAATGAGTGTAAATCATTTGTTTGAATGTAGATAACGCTATTACATTTAATTTAGGAGTATTTTGATAATGTAATTCTATACATATTGATAAAACCAGTTTGATTGCTGTAGATTAATGATTGAAATATGTTTCTACCGGGAAGCTAATTCCTTAATAAACATGTCATGTAAAACAGTGGGACAGTCAAGCGTCTCCGGACAGTGCATGTGTTTGTAATAACAAATACTGGAAAAAAGGTTCGGACGGTTATGAAAAACCTGAAAAAGTCATGGAAAATTATTTTTCCTGGCTGAAAAAAAAATGTTTGAAATAAATAAGTAAAATTGCAAAAATCTTACTTTCAAATTTTAGTAACTTTGGATGAAAGTGTCTGCCAAATGAGTTCATTTAAATGTATTCTCGATGACCTTGGAACTCAATAGTCGGTAACATCCCTCAAAACTGGTTCAATAAAGAGGAATTTGGGATGAATTCAGAGTGAAAAACATTCTGAGGCATCAACGGTTGCTTGATTCTTTTCTGTTGTATCAGGTGGAGTATTGTTATGCTGTCAAGTGTTATTTATTCCCGTTTTATTTTGTTAAACCCTTCCTCTTGTGTCTTATTGAACTTCTCTCCATGCGTCTTAGGTTATGCTTTTCCTGATGTCCGGTTTGTTCACTTGGTTGCTCCTCTTTGATTCCTTTCCTTTGTCTCGTTATCTTCTCCTCAGTAGTGTATCAGTTTGCCTGCTCCCCATTGCCAGTCCGTCAATGTCTTTTGAGATATATTTCAGTTCAGTCATTTTCCTAGTGTTTGTTTCCCAGTGTTTTATTTGATTATCTGTGTGTCTCTTGGACCCTGCCAGTTTCACAAAGTTTGGATTCTTGCCTGTAACCTTTTGAACTTGTTTGCCTTTGTTGGACTGCTTACAACCCTTGCCTGCTTTCTACCTCACACTCAGCAAGCCTTAGTCCCTGTTTCATCATTTAAATAAATCATTGATCTGCACCCGTTTTGCCTCTGGTTTCTGCATGTGGGCTCAGTCCCTTTGTTATCCTGCTACCCCGCTATCAGTCAGTCTGATAGCTACAGATGGATAAAGACTTTACCTGTTAGATCAACATCATGCTCCCAGACTTCCGTCTTTTCTTGGTCTTGGACTATTATAGTCACTTCTTCTGTGTTTGTCGGCAGGCGGATCTCAAACGTTGGGTGGTAATTTGGTCCAAAGTCCAGGTTAAAATCTGCTTTCTGAAAAGCAAAGTGTCAGTACTTCCAAAGCATCCAAAGTAAACTAAAGGTAACTAACAGTAGTCTGATGAATCGTGTCAGCAGATAATATTGTTTAAAATACTCACCTTAGGCTGTATTTTACTGGCCTGAGGACAGTGAACAGTGTAACTTTGATCTCTGATGAGTTTACATGTGGAAGGAGCCTGGATGTTCTCAGAATGTTGATGTCGTTTGCTGACCTTAAGAGACATCAGAGCATTTTAACATTTAACATCTGAGTTGGACACATCAAGTGGAGATCTTCCAAAACTGTAGATTTTTTAGTACAAAATTCCCTCTTTGTGATTCCCTAGTGAGCTGCAGTGGCGGGATAATAACAAAAACATGAACTTTTGTACCAATAAGACTGTAACTTTGCATGCTGACCACTTTCCCCTCCCTCGCCCCTCTCCTCTTTGCCCTGAACTCTCTAAAATTTTCACGCTTCTCACCACTAAAAGTACATTAGGAAGTCATCGCTTAATGTTCAGTATGAACAGGCGTAACGATTACAGGAAGAAATGGCTGTTTGGTCATTTGGACACCAGACTGTCATCCTTATTGTGTCCTAATTGATTGTGATTTTGTCCTTTAAGAAAGGTGGTCTGCACTTGCATAACGCCTTTCTAGTCTTTCCGACCACTGAAAGCGCTTTACATCATGTTCACGTCTTTTACACACTGATGAACAGAGGCTAAGGTGCCAACTGCTCACCAGAAATAGAAATTAACTCATTGATGGCCCTTAGAAGCAATTTGGGGTTTAGTATCTTGCCTAGCGACACATGCTGACATATAGATTTGGGGAGCCTTGGATTGAACTATGACCTTCTGATAAGCGGACAACTACTCTACCCCCTGAGGAACAGCTGCCCCCAAGATCAGACATGTTTGGACTCACAGCTGTACGATTAAATGATTATTTACCTCATCCAAAGGGATGTTGCTTGGCAGGAGAAGAACATTGAGATTTTGCATCTGTGTTGTTGGGTTCGGCGCTCGGAGGAACAGCAGGACTTGGCTGCTAATTGGTTTTGTGTTGTTCAAAAACCTCTTTAGATAATCCCAGACCAGGCCAAAGGCAGAGAGGTGAAGGACCTTCACAACCACATGAGTGTCTGTAATCTCCAGTGGCTCCAAGATGCTCATTCCATCATCAGTGATGTGGACGACAGACAGCAGACCGTCAACAAGCAACGCTGTGAAAGCAAAGAGCTGCTGAACTTGTGTTTTACTGCCAACTTGCACCTGAGTTCAGAGAGTTCAAACTAATCTATTGTCATTAACCTTGGAGTACCCCAAGAATATATAATGTATAAATATTTTCCTTTCCCACATGTGATCTGTCTGATGTGTGCATTTAGTGTCACTGAAAGCAGCTAATTTAAACAAAGTAAACTACACATGTATCAAAATCTTTGTAATTTTACTAATTCATTGTTTAACACTGAAGACAGCAATGTCCTCACCGTCCTTTGTTTCACAGTGCGGCAGGTGGAGCTGACAGACAGCATCCTCAGGACACTTGATACTGAACAGCGGCCCTGCAGCCGTCTTGCCAGCTGGTTGGAGGAGGCTCTCATCCCATTGGACAGTCCTGTACAGCAGCTCCGCCTCCTGAGCCACAACAAACACCAGTCCAGTCAAAGCACACTGGAACACACCTGGACCAGGACACCTGAACCTGCAGGACACAGAAGGGCTGAATTAATAGAACAACTATTCATTGATGATCCTTTTCACTGACGGGTGTTCATGTGCAGCAGATGTAAGACATGATAACATCCAGGGGACATCCACTCTCTTTCATTCAAGGCCTCAGCAAGGTAAAACTGTTCGGACCGGATATTTTGCTTCCTGCAAAGTAAGTGGGACGTATCACCACCTTCCACATCTTTATCTGTGCTCATAGCTGGAGCCACACAGGTCCATGTTGAAATCTGATTTCTGATGTTGGGTTTAACCACAGCCTGCCCTGTGCATAATGTTGACACAGAATTACTTAGTTTTCTGCCACAACACAAATCTGTAGAAGTAAAACATGGGTTGGGGTATAAGACCTTGACAAAGAAGGTGTAATAGCTTTTAGGGCTAAGCGATATGTTTGAACCACATAACGATATTGGTATTTTTCTACATAACAAAGTCAGAGATAATTTAGTCAAATTGATTTTGAATACACTCAACTGTGTTCCACTGTTACTGTAACTACACTAAACAAAAGTCTATACGGGTAAAATAAGACCTCAGGAAGACACACCATGATTGTATCTCTGATGATGAATCTGATCTGTGACAACTGATGAAACCAAACTAGATTGGGTCTGTTTCAGTCTGGCCAGTTGTTGCTGCCAGTGTTTATTTAAATTTTGTAGACTCTGGTAATATGCAGCAAAGACGTATATTTGTAAAGTAAGTTCAAATTTTATAAATGATCTTTTTTACGTTTGAATTCAAATGATGAATTCTATTTCCGCAATGCCAAAAATTAAGGCCAATGATGCCAGATGTGTTTTTAGTACACCACTTATTATTCCAGTGTAGTGCCAATAATTTACAATATGCGATGTGGCTAGTATGTTATTAATAACTCCGATGTGTATGTAAACAAATACAATATCTTGTATTCAAATTAACTGCTGAACTCTGACCTTTTGATTGATACCTAATTCATTGCAGACGGGAGCCTGAGCCGTAAGGAAGGGCCAGGCCCTATTATTTTGCAGGTAGGCCAAGCCAATTGTGCCAATGACTGGCATTTCGTGTAGCCAATAAAACTGTGAAATTAACGATATCCAGCTTTAAGTAGGAAGTTCTTGATATACCAGCAAAAAAACACATCTGCGTCAGGCTACCGGCTAATACGGAGCGATGCAGTAGCAGCCGCCTGCCGCCAAGGGGCGGTGCTGTTTTAGAAAAAATACACTAAGACAGAAACTTAGAAAAACCTGTGTAAAATAATAATTTTTCATGGTACTGGTATTATAAATTTTAAATTGGACTAGATAAGGTTTATGCTGTAAATCAATTCCTGTAGCACTTACAGTGATTCTGACTTTTGTATTAGACACGTTAGAGTGTTATCTGAGAAACCCAAAGCCATGTTTTTACTTGAAATGGTTCAAGAACTGCACTCAATTTAATTTGGATATGCCTTGAGTATGTGCTTTACATGAATTTTACAGGAATGGTAAGAGGTTAAGAAGTCCACTTCCAGGTCTAAACACTTTATTATATTTCTGGAACCGTCCTGTTTGTTTAACTGCTTGGATTAACAGGGCCAAACGCCTGCATACATCTGACCCAGAGTCTGATGCTACTGGTTTATAGGCTTGACACTGAGTTGGCCATGATACCTTCCATCTGCAATGTAACACGTGAGAAAATGATGCACATTTACATTTACTACCAGGATTGGTTTGAATATTCGACCTACTGTGTTCAGCTTTGACTAACTCACCACAGACAACAGACTCTTGTTTAGAATCACAACTCGATGAACCATGCAAGAAGTTGGAAATGTGTTTTGTCATTGTGTAGGATTACCTGTATGAAGATTCAGTTGTCTGCTCAGGTAAGAAGAATATTGGAGCCTGGAATGAAGAATGGCACAAAGTTAGTAATTTTAATAGAGACAGACAGACGGGAGAGACAGAGACGGACAGAGAGTGACAGGTTGGTGTGTGGGGTGGAATCATGTTTCTGTGAAAGTGCGGGTGTCACACACGTAACACCTGCAGGTTTGCATTTAGTACCAGGATTGGGATGCAAGAAAGTATTGTAAAAACTATTTTTACCAAAATGTACAGCATCCAACCCAAACACTGGGGTCTTAAGTTTTCCTGCAGTGTTTTCTGCTTATTTCATTCATCTACTTGTGTGCACCTATGCCACCTGCTGGTAATCCTAAAGTGAAATAGTTGTAGAACGCACCGTAATTTCTTCTCTTGCATCAAGTGTGTTATTTTGTTGCTGCTTTGAGTAATTAAATCTTTGTTTGATTATTTCGCTTTTATGGCAGAAAGAGTTGAAATTGTACGTGATGTACATGCAATTTTAATGTACAATGCTTTAAAGGTTTAGTGTAAGTTTTAGTGGCATCTTATGCGAATTCCAACCAACGGCTCACTCCATTCACTTGCTCCTCTGATGGTCCCATTTCCCAAGTTGTGAAGTTGTTTTTCTGACTTCAGTGTGTGTTCATGTGCTCTTAAGTCTGAATGTGGCATCAACATGGACGCTACTACAAAGATGTGTTGGATTAGCATTATCTGGCAAAGTTTTAATTATTTGTGTCCTTTTATATATATACTTCTTTATGTCCCATGTACACTTTATTTCTCTTTTTGCAATAAGGATTTAAGGAGGAAAAACAAATTCAGATTATTCCGACACCACCTGAATCCACCATCAGTCACTGCTCACCTCTCCCTTTCCAAGCATTTAGAAGAAGCTAAATGTGCTAAAAATGTGGTCCTCCATTTGTCCAAATTTCACGTCTCTAATTACTTCTTATAAACCACACTACTTCTTCTTCTTCTTCTTCTTCTTCTTGTACGTATTCAGTGTAGTAACAAAACATGCTCTGTAGAGCAGTTTGTCCATTTGGACAATATAGCGACTTCCATGTCAGATGTAGATGTAGATAGAAATGGCTTATTCTAACAAAACCTAATGGTTATATTTTTTTGTGGTGAAAAGTCATTGATGGTTTATAATGGCTTCACTGTGCCGCAGTTCCTTTCTCACCTTTTTGTCTTCCTCATCCAGTTTGACATTGGAGTCATCTGATAGAAGAAGAAAAACAGAACAAGAAAAAACATGAATTGTGTGAGAAAAATGAATTCTTAAATACTTTTAAACTTAGACTTCACAGTTCTAACAAAAGTGGAATAGAAAAATAGTTTTGTTCTACAATGAGCAGATGGTTCAGATAAGAAGTAAATTCACATGATGAATGGAGGACTTTGGTGCAAAACTCACATGTCTTGTGTTTGTCAGCTGTGATCAACTGGCCATCGATTCTGTAGGGATGAACTCAAACGTTAATAATAAAGTTTAACAAAAGAAAATTCCTTCTTTGAGTTAGCCAGCATTGAGTCCAGCCAACTGACTAAATGCTTTGATTACATCATGTCTTCACCGTAAAGTCTACAACTTACTGCCAAGTGTTCTGTGTCTTCATAAGAACTAACTAGGACGACACCATACGAACAAACTTTCTCACTTTACTGTAAAATCCCATGTGTTCAGTGCTTGAAATGATCTGGCACTCACAGGTATGCAGTACTGGCACTTACTTCTTTCCACTTCAAGCACTGCATGTGTTTGATGAAAAAAAAGGTATTGTGAAATGTTTCTAAGCATTGTCAGCTTGTATTATTATGTTTGTGGAAGAATGAAAGAATGCATTCAATGGCAAATATCTGGTTTGTTGTGCTAGGCTCCCCCTGGGCAGGTAAAGTTCTCACCCAACACAGCAGAAACCCAAAGCTTGATTCTCAGTAGAGGTACCTGCTACTGTTGAACCAGTGTGGACTGCACATATTTGTCGCACATATTTGTTGTAGATTGTTGATCTTTGTTGTTGTATATTTTATGTTGTCAGTTTATATCTTTATATGTACACAATATTCTCTTCCGTTCTTCTGCACGGCACATGTATATTTCTGCAACCTTGTTTTTCCATTCCATATTTATATATTTCTACATTTATTTATGTTGACTGTATGTTTGTCTCCGTGTAGCACCTTATCACCACAGCAAATTCCTTGAATGTGTAAAACACTACTTGGCAATACAGCTCCTTCTGATTCTGAGTCGGACCCCCTACTGACCTCAGAGTCTCCAGTCTATAGTAAAGACTCTTCACATGATAAGACAGCAGCTTCACTCCTGAATCCTGCAGCTTGTTCCGGCTCAGCTCCAGCTCTCTCAGATGGGAGGGGTTGGACTTCAGAGCTGAGACCAGAGAAGCACAGCTGATCTCTGACAAACTGCAGCCCAACAATCTGAATAAAGAATAAATTATATAGATAAAAATACATTTCTAATCCAATAAGGTTTAAAATGTGGAGCTCAACATTACTGCACTACTGTACACTGTTATACAAGCTGTACGCTCACTACTTTACACTGTTATACAAGGTGTACGCTCACTACTTTACACTGTTATACAAGCTGTACGCTCACTACTTTACACTGTTATACAAGGTGTACGCTCACTACTTTACACTGTTATACAAGCTGTACGCTCACTACTTTACACTGTTATACAAGGTGTACGCTCACTACTGTATACTGTTATACAAGCTGTACGCTCACTACTGTACACTGTTATACAAGCTGTACGCTCACTACTGTACACTGTTATACAAGCTGTACACTCACTACTGTATACTGTTATACAAGCTGCACACTCACTACTGTACACTGTTATACAAGCTGTACACTCACTACTGTATACTGTTATACAAGCTGCACACTCACTACTGTACACTGTTATACAAGCTGTATGCTCACTACTTTACACTGTTATACAAGCTGTACGCTCACTACTTTACACTGTTATACAAGCTGTACGCTCACTACTTTACACTGTTATACAAGCTGTACGCTCACTACTTTACACTGTTATACAAGCTGTACGCTCACTACTGTACACTGTTATACAAGCTGTACACTCACTACTTTACACTGTTATACAAGCTGTACGCTCACTACTGTACACTGTTATACAAGCTGTACGCTCACTACTTTACACTGTTATACAAGCTGTACACTCACTACTGTACACTGTTATACAAGCTGCACGCTCACTACTGTACACTGTTATACAAGCTGCACGCTCACTACTGTACACTGTTATACAAGCTGTGCGCTCACTACTTTACACTGTTATACAAGCTGTACACTCACTACTGTACACTGTTATACAAGCTGCACGCTCACTACTGTACACTGTTATACAAGCTGTACACTCACTACTTTACACTGTTATACAAGCTGTACACTCACTACTGTACACTGTTATACAAGCTGCACGCTCACTACTTTACACTGTTATACAAGCTGTACACTCACTACTGTACACTGTTATACAAGCTGTACGCTCACTACTGTACACTGTTATACAAGCTGTACACTCACTACTTTACACTGTTATACAAGCTGTACACTCACTACTGTACACTGTTATACAAGCTGTACGCTCACTACTGTACACTGTTATACAAGCTGTACACTCACTTAGATTGCAGCAAAGTGTCATTTCTTCAGTGTTGTCACATTAAAAGATATAATCAGATATTTACAAATATGTGAGGGGTGTATTCACTTTTGAGATACTGTATGTCCTAATCAATGAACTTTCCCCTAAAATGAGTAGAGGGAGTTCATGACTTCATCATTGTGTTATTGTGGATCATCCAAATGTCAGCACAACATTCATACACCTATTCATGTCAACACAGATCAATAACATGCTGCTGATCTCAGGCCAGTCTGGAATCAGAGGAGGGAAACTGAAAACATATTGAAATGATCAGAAACCGAAGAAATACTTTTACTGCAGTAAGTAAACTTGATCAATTAAAAGACATTTTACTCAAGAGAACTTCTGTACACACACCTAAAGGATTATTAGGAACACCATACTAATACTGTGTTTGACCCCCTTTCGCCTTCAGAACTGCCTTAATTCTACGTGGCATTGATTCAACAAGGTGCTGAAAGCATTCTTTAGAAATGTTGGCCCATATTGATGGATAGCATCTTGCAGTTGATGGAGATTTGTGGGATGCACATCCAGGGCACGAAGCTCCCGTTCCACCGCATCCCAAAGATGCTCTATTGGGTTGAGATCTGGTGACTGTGGGCGCCATTTTAGTACAGTGAACTCATTGTCATGTTCAAGAAACCAATTTGAAATGATTGGAGCTTTGTGACATGGTGCATTATCCTGCTGGAAGTAGCCATCAGAGGATGGGTACATGGTGGCCATAAAGGGATGGACATGGTCAGAAACAATGCTCAGGTAGGCCGTGGCATTTAAACCATGCCCAATTGGCACTAAGGGGCCTAAAGTGTGCCAAGAAAACATCCCCCACACCATTACACCACCACCACCAGCAGCCTGCACAGTGGTAACAAGGCATGATGGATCCATGCTCTCATTCTGTTTACGCCAAATTCTGACTCTCTGAATGTCTCAACAGAAATCGAGACTCATCAGACCAGGCAACATTTTTCCAGTCTTCAACTGTCCAATTTTGGTGAGCTCTTGCAAATTGTAGCCTCTTTTTCCTATTTGTAGTGGAGATGAGTGGTACCCGGTGGGGTCTTCTGCTGTTGTAGCCCATCCGCCTCAAGGTTGTGCGTGTTGTGGCTTCACAAATGCTTTGCCGCATACCTCGGTTGTAACGAGCGGTTATTTCAGTCAAAGTTGCTCTTCTATCAGCTTGAATCAGTCGGCCCGTTCTCCTCTGACCTCTAGCATCAACGAGGCATTTTCGCCCACAGGACTGCCGCATACTGGATGTTTTTCCCTTTTCACACCATTCTTTGTAAACCCTAGAAATGGTTGTGTGTGAAAATCCCAGTAACTGAGCAGATTGTGAAATACTCAGACCGGCCCGTCTGGCACCAACAACCATGCCACGCTCAAAATTGCTTAAATCACCTTTCTTTCCCATTCTGACATTCAGTTTGGAGTTCAGGAGATTGTCTTGACCAGGACCACACCCCTAAATGCATTGAAGCAACTGCCATGTGATTGGTTGATTAGATAATTGCATTAATGAGAAATTGAACAGGTGTTCCTAATAATCCTTTAGGTGAGTGTGTATGGTTATGGTTTAGGGTTTTCCTGTTCTACTAAGTTAAATCCTTACTCTTGTGTTTGTGTGTTTCACTTCCCATCTCTGTGTTTTTCCACATTCTCTCTCTATTATTTTGTTTCCCCTGTGTCTGGTGTATTTAACTTTTAGGTTGCTTGTTCTTTGCAGATGTTTAGGTTTAGTTTAAGGTCTAGTGTGTAATATTTAGGAAGATCTATTGACAGAAATGTACAAAGACCTTACATAATGTTATATAACTGTTAAGGTTTTATTACCTTAAATTAACTTCGAAAATCGAAAATCCATTCATGACATAAAATGTGCTCAAATAGTGGTTGAAAGACTGAATGTCAACATTTAGGCTGCTGAAAACTCACCTCAACACCGGCGCCCACATCACAAAAGGTGGGGCAGAACATGACCAGTCTCTGTGATAGCCTATAAGATAGCTAATAACCAAAAATATCTCTCAATATCTAATTTTAATATTTCAATATCTCTGCCAAACTCCTCATAATATTCAGCGTCACATAAGAATCATTTTCCTAGAGAGCTGATTGTTCAGTAGGCGGTGTTTAGAGCTGATATCTTACCTGGGACATAACCTGGTAAGTTACCATGGTGCTCTACCCTGGTAAGAAGTGAACAACTGTTGTGGTACAGAAAACCCAGGGTTAACCCCGAAGTTACCTTGCTATGCTCAAATCCTGCTTTGTGGTACAGGCCCCAGGAAGGTCAAACTGTTGTTGCTAACATCTTGTCATGTAAACTTTATGTTACTGTCCACAAGGTTGACATGTTCTGTGAACGCCTGCACTTCCTGGGTCTTAATTTTGACCCATGTGTCATCCACATATTTGTACCAGTTGCTTGGTCCTGTTCTTCTGAAGGAGCTCAGGGCTCTACTTTTCACTTCCATGTAGATGTTGGCACAATAGGAGATACTGGTGAGTTCATGGCACAGCCATGCTTCTGTCTTTAGAATCCTCTGTTGTACTAGAAATCGGCAGTGTTCAGACAGAGGTCCGACAGTTCATAATTTTTGTCTGGGCTAAGGTTAGTTCTGTAATTCAGCATGTTGTTTTGTAGCAGTCATGGACTTATGGTTTACACTGCCTCCATGGTGAGGATACATGTGAAAAAGGAGGTCACATCATAAGACACCATGGATTCATCTGGGTCCAGATTCAGTCTTCGAAATGTGTTCAGAAAGTCTATTTTGTGGATGTGGTGAGGTGAGGTATGTTGCTGATCATGAAAGTAGATATTTGTGTTAGGGTCAGAGTTAGGTTAATGCTGCTGATATGCATATCTTAGGTAGTCCATATATTTATGGAATGGCTTCTCCAGGATACAAACTGTGATATTGTTCACATATGAAGATTTTTTCTTTCTGTAGCTGTTGTAAACATTCCATGTCTTTTTCTTATGTCCACTGGTGGGATCTCCCCTCACGGTTTCATTTGTCTTAGTTTTCACTGAGTAGTGTGTTGACCCTGGAATGGTAGTCTGCTGTATCAAGGACCACTGTGCAGCCTCCTTTGTCAGTATGTAGGATACTGTAGTTGTGTTTTGATCCTTGCTCAGTGATATCATAACCTTCCTTTGCTGGTTGGTGATGTTGGAAAGGGATACCTTCAGCATGAGATGTTAGGTTGTTTTTGTGTTTCTGTGAGGAGGTTCACTATTGGTAGCTGCTGTGGTGTGATGGCAAATTTTAATCCTTTGGCTTGATCGTCTTTCTTTAGTTTGGTATGATCCATATGTGACAGTTCTTCACATATCTGTTCTCTGTTTCATGTAGTGTGGAATGACGTTTCTTTTCCCGCCATGTAAATTCTTTCTGTTTTCTTGATGTTGCCGGCTCGTGACTGTAGGTTTTGGCATTTCCAAATCTTTTCATGCTCTTGGCGTGTTGAGATAGCTGTGCTTTCTTAA